CAAATCGGTTTTATTTCGGGTCATTTAGATTGGGTCGGGTCTAGGTTCTCTCTCAGTAAATCGAGTTTGGAATCTGGTCTAGTTATGTCGGATTACCGGGTTGGGTCGGGTTACCGAGTAAATAAAGTTACTCATATGAATGAATGAATGAATAAATATCACTCTTATGAATAGATGTGCCACACTGGGTAGGCGCCCTAAGCACACAAGACTTGCTAGTGTTTGATACTATATATCCAAAAATTTAAGTAATATGTTCAAAAAGGATATATTAAGGCCCATAAACTTTATAGTCATTTTAACCCATTAACACATTAGTTTCGAGAAATAACCAATTAGGCATTTACCCATCTCTAACAAACGCCTGCAATATCGTTTTGAGGAGAGAAATTAGGGGTCGTTTGGTTCGCTGGAATGGAGAAAGGGAATGGGAATGATTCCCTTTGTTAGTGTTTGTTTTCACTTTTTTGTCATTCCCATTCCCCCATTTTATTTTTGGGTTTACCCAAAAATCTCCTAAACCCATTCCCTACCCCCTTTACCTTTTGCATTCCCGTTCCCCAACCACCACCATACCCTATCAACTGGATGCATCTCGCCGGAACTTGTTGCACCTCCCCGGAACTCACTTTACCTTGCCGGATGCTCGTCGACCTTCCCTAGACCCTCAGCGCCCTTTGCCACCACTCCTCCCACCCGTGGTTGTAGTCGGGCCAAGACCTCGAACAAAGAGCTTCCGCTGAATAACGTCGGAATCAACAAGTGTGCGCGCCGCAAAGGACATCAGGGTGGTGGACGGCGACATCTTGGAGGAGAGAGCAGAGTTGGTCGGCTATAAAAGGTTCGATGAGTTTGCGAGCGTCTTCGGGAGTTAGGGTTTGGGTTTGAAAAGGTGGTTGTAAAACTGGGGTTGCGTCGGAAACGAAGGAATTTCCATTCTTTACGTTTCTTTAAAGCTTCCATTGAAGAAGATGAAAGAAAAACCCTACATACAGGCGGAAGAGAGAAGAAATTGGGGGTTTAGGACGAGAAGGGTTCTGATGTGGATTGTTGTTCGACGGGCCTCACCAGGTCAAAGGAGGGACGGTCGGTTCCGTTGTGGTGTTAGTTGGGCGGTGCGGTGGCCGGAGAAGGTGGAAACTAATGAAAGGGTGCAATGGTTGTGCTGTGGTGGTTCTATGGTGGTTTCATTCCATTCTCCTCCCTTTTCACCAAACAACACCCTAAATTATAAGGGTTTCATTCCTTTCTCCTCCATTCCCTTTCTGCATTCCATTCCAATTCCCCTATGCGAAACAAACGGCCCCTTAGCTTATTTAAAATTAACAATATCGTTTACAGCTAATATTATAAATATACTCCGTAAAAGATACTCCCTTTTTGAACATACATATTAGCTGTAAACAATCAGTTAAGACCCCCTCCCTTTGAATACTTGATGAGCTTATTTCAATTTCTCTCTCTGAATCCGTTGGATTTTCAGATTTCTTCTCTCTATATTTTCATATTAATATCCACAAATTTTGATTCTCAATCAAATTTTACATCTATTTATTTTTTTTTCTTGAATTTTCAACTGATTTACTAATCCTAAATTCATACCCATTTTTTACTTTTAAATAAAATCCAATTCATCGTTAATATATGCGCTTGTTGTTGATTGCTTGAGAATAAATTAATAAATTCCTTCTTCTCCTTATTGATTTTTTGATCTTTTCGATCATGTTTGAACTTGTTATAAGCGAAACTGCAGAAAAGCGAAGAACAAGAACAATGTTACTGGGAATTAGACTGAGTCGCGGACTATTTCGCTCTCTTTAGAATATTCACGGTACTGAGGGCAGAAAATCGTTTTTAAACACCATTGATTGCATAACGGCAGATAAGCATGAATTTAGCCCAAAACGTTAGAAAAACGGGCAGAAAATCAATTTTTTCAAAACAGTCAAAAACTAATTAACACAAATAATGGGATTTAAAATGGTTAGCATAAATCAAGGCACTAATTATGTAATCAAGCCTTATTCTAAAAAGTTAATTTTGTTTTAATCATCTGAACCAACCCAGCCCAACCCAACCCGGCCCGACTCGGCTCGCGCGTGTGTTAGGTTGGTTCGGTAGGCATGTCCTCCCTCTCTACAATTTGTGGGTAGCCCTTGGGCCACACCCAAGTATACCACATACTTCAATATAAAGGGAGTAACACTCTCATTTCCCACCAATGTGGGACTTCGTGATTTTCACAAAATTCACACTTTTGTTCCAACAGAACTCGATTTCAGGATTTTCGACCTATTTTTTCAATAATTTCTTTGGAACACATGCGTTTTCTCCCTCAAAAATCCATCTATCTTCGCCACCACCGACAATCCAATCGCCACCTTATTCCGTGATGTGAATCGAGTAACCCTTTCTCACAACTTGCTTTATTTAGGTACTCTCTTGGTTTTACCTTACTCTTAAAATAGAGGTTTTACAAGTGAGTTTTAATAATATTTTTATTATTTTCTTTGTAGTAGTTATGGGGCCCTGAGCTTCCAAAGCTGTGTTAATTAGTTAGTGGACTATCTTGGTTCATTAATTAATTATTAGGACTTTTATCTAGTTTGCCTGCGGAGCAAGTAAGATAGATTTATTTTTCCTATATATACTAGTTGTATGTCAATTATTTTAATAGGATGTTTTATAATAAAAGTTGAGATTATTGAGATTTTGCTTGAAGAGAACTTTGTTAAGGTTCAAACTAGTTGTTAACTAGGGTTTTGGGATCATTGCTTCTAGGATCAAACTTAGAAGTCGTTGCCTTCTAAGACTATCCTTTCAAATTTCCACCATTAAAATCACCCAAATCCTTACATTAAATATAACCCGTAAAAAATACGCATAATTCCGCCGCATTTGCACCATCGTGTCATGCATCGATTTAATTTTCTTCTTATTTAAATGGTAAAATAATCAGAAATAACGCAATGTTGTTTTTAAATTTTTTATTCCAATTATTTTTTGTGCACTCTTTTTTTTTTTATCTCTATTTTAGATTTTAATCTTGTCAACAGGCAAATTTGTAATTTTCAGCAATGTTTTAAGGGCAAATATGTAATTTCAGTTACTATTAACCTAAAAAACCTAAATCCTAAACCCTAACCCCTAAACCCTAAAACCTAACTCCTAAACCCTAAACTCTAACCCTAAACCCTAACCCTAAACCCAAACCCTAACCCTAACCCTAACCCTAACCCTAACCCTAAACCCTAACTCCTAACCTAACCTAAACCCTAACCCTAAATCCTAAACCCTAACTCTTAACCTTAAAACCCTAACCCTAAACCCTAACACTAAGCCTTAGCCCTAAAACCAGGCCCGCTCCTAGCTTTTTGGTGGCCTATGGGCAGAATGATAAATTGGGCCTTAATAATCAAGTAAAAAAATGTACTATTACGTAAAATTAAATTCCAATATATTTACATATATAAATTTACATTTATATTTTTTGCTTTGAAATGACCGAAACTACACATCAAATGCTAATCTTTCATAAGGAAGAAAAAAAAATAAAAAAAAAAATAAATCAAATACCAAATTACAACAAGAAAAAAAAAACAATAGAACTTAAAAATAATAGAATAATACTTCGTATTGATTTATATTATACCCAAACAAAAATATTAATAATAAGGAGCTATAAATTACTATATACATGCATACATAAACTGAGAAAAACAGAAAAAAAGAAAAAAAAAATTAATGTTAACATTTTTGGATTCGGATATTTTAAGTCAAAATTGGCCTCCAACATTCCAATTTTTGATCATCGATATACCAATTACAAATTTTTAAATCAAAACAAAGAGTGATGATGAATCAGAAGCTTGAAAACAACTTCTTAGGATGTAGAAAAATGGAGGGAGGATTATTTATAGAATTATAAGTGAATACATACCGTAAACCAAATCCACAGTTTGAAGTATTAGGAGATTAATGAGGTTGGAAATTGCGAGAAATTAAAATTAATGGAAAGAAGATAACAATTAATTCCATTAAATCTGAATAAGAAGAAATCATAATGGATTTTTTATCTTAATTCTTGGAAGAGAAGTTGAATGACCAAAGCAAATATTAATTGAGGAAATAATTAAGAGAGAAGTTGAAGTGTTAACAATATTGGGCTTCCTCCCTTGGGCCCAGGGCGATAGCACCTTATGCCCTGGCCCTGCCTAAAACCTAAAACCTAACCCCTAATCCTAAACCCTAGCCTTAGCCCTAATGTGTATAGCTTGTTTTGACTTTCCCCTTGTAACATAAGCAGGTCTATGTGGTCACTTTGATTCATTTGAAAATATCAAGCTACCCTCAATTCTTACACACACACACACAAAAAAAAAAAAAAAAAAGTTAGATTTTGTGAAACTCTTATTATTGGAATGTAGTTGAAAAAGTATCACATCATATCTAAGAATTTTGAATTTTTATTTATTGTAATATTTTCAGAGTGTTACAATAAGTGAAGCAGTACATGAAAGTCAATCAAATTATACATAGGATTGTTGCTGCCATGCTCAATGTTCTAAATGAACGATTATTCTCTTATCTATACTATATATTAAAAGACATTCTTTTTAAAGGAACGATGCCACGTGGCACTTTTCAAAGTATGCATGTGTGCCATGTCACAATGCCACGTCACCATCCAAAGTATATGCACCACGTAAGCTAGCCACTTCATTTAACAAAATATAATATGCTTTGAACAATATTCGAACCCATAACCTCTGATACATATACGTAATACATTTACCCTCTCAACCAACTTATATTAATATTTCAAATTTCACATAATATTATATATTCCTTTCATTTATCAAGTAAATTAGAGGTAATATAATTCTTTTTTTTTTCTTCACAAGACTAGAATATAAATACATACGGAGTATGATGTAAAAAAAAAAAAAAAGTGACACCTAAGGCAACGTCCGAACCACTACACACACTAACTATACAAATAGTCGAACATAATTATTATTATTAAATTAAAAGTACACAAACTAGTAACTCGGAGCATCGCCCGAAATACACACTAATTATCACAATTATTACTCGTATTATTTTTATTTGCATAAATTTAAGAAAAAGTACATTTGGTGTCCCTCCGTTCGTACGGAGCGGTGAGATCAGATCTTTTAACTTCGTGCTTCAAGCCCTGCAAAAGACCAAGAAATCAATCTCTTAATTGTCTTAAACATTTAACAAGAGTAAAAACTAAAAAAAATATACTACGTAATCAATTTTTTTTTTTTTTAAATAAAGGAAATATTGGTTTTATTAATCCCAACTTTGACCGATTTTCTTAGAATAATCCGAACTTTTGATTATTTTGGAATAATCTCAACTTATATAGGTATCTTCTTATTATAATCCGAACTTTATTTTTATTATACATAATAGTCCCAAAAATGATCAACCAAGAATTATTTTAGAAAAATACCTATAAAAGTTGGGATTATTCCACAATAATCAAAAGTTGAGATTATTTAAAAAAAATCGATCAAACTTGGGATTATTAAAACCAATTTTTCAAAAAATAAGTTATACTTCCAATAATGTTCTTCAAACATGTATGTTTTCACTCATAAAAACTACTTTTGTACGGAGTAACTCCTACAACCAACTATCAATAACCAACCTTGGTACGGTTGTGAAAAAGAATGTGAGAAGGAAAAAAATTAAAATTATAAATTTGTCAGAATATACAATATAAAATGTATAGTTGGGTTTTTTTTTTTACTTTCCCTTTAAATAGTTTTATTTCTTTGATGACGAATTAAAACTTGCTCCTTTACTATATATATTTGTATTATAGAAATAGTTATGATTGTGTAAAAAAAAAAAAAAATAAATAAATAAATAAATATATTTACCTAATTATTAAGGGTATTAGAGATATAGAACAACTCTTATATATATCGCCTATATCCCATACACGGAGGACTTTTTACATGCCACTAATATTATTAATGTCACAAGTTTATATTCCTCGCCCTATTTTTAATTTAATTTGTGTTTGGGTCCAATTTAGTCCAATTGGGCCTGGTCACTGAATGATCCAATTAAAAGCCCAAGGTTAAGGTTCAACTCTCCAAATGTGCTAAAGTCAAAAATCAACATCCTCAAAGCCATGTCAAGGTCAGTCAACGGCCCAATCAGCTTGGCCCAGCCCAACTGACTTCCGGGCCCAATCCGCCTCCTTCATTAGCCAAGGTATAAAAGCCAACAATTTGGTCAATTCTTGGTAAGACAAAAAAGCCTCAAGCAACTAAACTCTTGCACAGCTTTCTCTCTCTAATATACTGACTTAAGCATCGGAGGGGCCTTCCTCGGCGTCCCCCCCGAGGCTAGTTTACGTGTATTTGTTGTGCAGGAAACCCTCGGCTCCTGCGTCGTTCGGACCGAGACCAAGTTCCCTCAAGATAAAAGGATCTTCCGAGATTCGATTGTTTTCATCCGAAACAATTTGGCGCCGTCTGTGGGGAACGCTACTAAATTTCGCGTCAGTCATCAAACACTCCGGCAGTCGCCATGACTAAGAGTGGAAAGAGTTCCAAGAAGGCTAAGAAGGGAGGAGGCCGGATTACGGTGAGGGAACGCCAGCCGGTTTATCCCTCCCCGGAGCAAGCCTCTTCCGAATCGGAGGCCCCCATTTCTCCGGAAAGGGAAGCCTCAAGAGGTCCTAGCCTCCAGGAGGAGAACACCTCGCACCACACTCGGCAGCCGGGGCCATCCCCGAGACCGAGTGGCTCAGGAGCGAGGAACTCCCCGCCGCGCCATAGCGTGCAATCCAGGTCACATCCGCGGGAGACTCCTCCCTCCGGACCCTCCACCGAGGAAGTGGCCAGAGCAGTGGCCATCTGCATGGAGTTCCTTAAAGCTCAAGGGGCTCCAATCCAGATGCCTGATGATCACCAGCCGAGAAACCTGAAAAGGAGGATCGGTCAGGATGATGGTGGACAAGTTCCACCACATAGAGAGCTCGGCCAGAGGTGGCGAGGGGACACCCGAAACTCCAGTAAGGAGAGGAGGAGGAACCCTCAACCCTCTGACCACTCTGAAGCTCAGAATTCCATGGGGCCCTCCAAGGACCCGGAATTCGCCCGCCAAAGCGTTCACGAACGCTTGGGTTCGAGGGAGGTGAGTGTGCATAGCCGCCTCACCTTCCCAGAGGATACCGGACCCCACCCAACCTTGTCTCAGCCGGGGACGAAAACCACTTCCACCTCTGAGAGAGGAGGGAGCGAGGTCCCTGAGGCCGGGTACAAGGGGAAGGCGGTCATGGTTCCATCGAACTCGCCCTTCCAGAAGTGGATTCTGGAAGAGCATGTGCCAACGGTCAAAATCCCGGCACATATTACTTACGATGGTACCTCAGATCCTAAGGATCACATTGCCTCTTACGAGGGGCACATGTATCTGAACCCGAGGTCTGAGGCTACCTGGTGTAAATACTTTCCTACGACCCTCAAAGGTGTTGCCCAATCCTGGATCACCAAAGGGCTCAAGGAAGGCTCCATAACCGGTTGGAACGACCTCTCCAACAAGTTCAAGAGCAAATTCTCTACGGCCAACCGCCGAGAGAAGACCACTGCAGAGCTAATGAGTCTGCAGCAGGCGGAGGACGAGAGCCTCCGCGACTATCTGACTCACTTCAGCAACGAGTCATCCGGAATCACAAGCCTGGATCAAGGCCTGGCCGTGTTCGCGCTACGGAACGGCCTCCAAGCTGGAAAGTTCCTGGACTTCATGGTCATGCATCCCCCGCAGACCCTGGAGGAAGCCTTGGAAGCATCGGACAGGTTCATCCGAGCCGAGGAGTGGAACAGATCCAGGTCTCAGTCTCGTCCGAGAATTGACAAGCCGAAAGGGCAGCAGCCCGAAGTCTCGGCGCAGAGGAAAGGGAAGGCTAAGGCCTCAGAACCGTCCTCTGCTGCCGAGCCGAAGAAGGAAAGACACTTTCCCTACACGGGAAGGTACGATTCATACGCTCCACTCTCCCTTCCCCGTGCTAAGATTTTCAGCACGACGAAGGACGAGGGGAGATTCAAAAAACCTCGTCCGTTGCCTCCCTGGCATCAGACGAGGGGAAAGGACCAGTGGTGCGAGTTCCATGACTCACCCGGACATCGCACCGAGGACTGCGTCCAGCTGAAGGACCAGATTGAGGATCTGGTCCGCAAGGGGTACCTGAGCCAATACCTCGCGGACAGGCGCGAGGAGAAAAAAGCTGAAAAAGATTCTCGGCAGGACCTCAACTTCGCTCGGAAGAAGGATAAGGGACCTCAGGGCAAGGAGTCCCTCGACATCCTAGTTATTTCCGGGGGAATCTCGCGAGGCACAGCCAAACGCCAACTGAGGGGTCTAACCCATCAGATTCATCAGGCTGAGCTTCGGCAGTCCCAGTCACCGGCGCCGAACATCCTGTTCACAGCCGAAGACTGTGAGGGGGTGGTATACCCCCACGATGACCCACTAGTAATCATTCTGGGCATCGCCAACCGCAACGTCTGGCGGACCCTCGTCGACGGCGGTAGCGGGGCGAACATCCTCTTCCGAGGAGCGTTCGACCAGCTGAGGATGGGAGCCGAGCACCTGGCCCCCGCACCCTACCCGGTGTCTGGATTCAACGGCTCTTCCTCGTATCCTGACGGGAAGATTACACTTCCTGTCACCATCGGCGAAGGCCGAGCAGCTAGGAATATCATGGCCGAATTTTTGGTCGTAGATGCTCCATCTGCATACAACGTGATCATGGGGAGACCCCTCATTCACGGCATTCAAGGAGTCGTCTCCACGTATCATCAAATCATGATATACGTTTCAGACGAGGGACGCTCCGAGAAAATAAAGGGCAGTCAAGAAGAAGCCCGCCGATGCAATCACCTCAAGCCATCCACGTCTCGCCGAGGCGACCGTGGCGATGGGGAGGAAAAGCACCGGGACCGAAACGCCAAAAAGCCGAGAGGCTCAGACGTTTCGGCTAATGAAGCCCCAGACAACGAGAAATCTGATGGGGGCCAAAAGGCTGACTCCGCCTCAGAGCCGAACGACTCTGATGGCCAGCCGCGGTCAGGAAAGTCTGCTAATATTGATAGCAGGCCGGAATTCGAGGAATCCAACTCTAAGAGCATGGAGACGGATGACCTGACCGAGTCAATAGAACTGACCGTAGGAGATCCGAACAGATGTGTTAGCATCGGGTCGTCACTGGAGCCAAACACCCGTGCGGCACTCGTCCAACTCCTACGGGCCAGTGGAGACGTGTTCGCCTTCTCAGCCGCAGAAATGCCCGGGATTGATCCGGACTTCGTCTCCCATAGGCTTAATGTCGACCCCTCCAGTCGACCCGTTAAGCAGAAAAAGCGGAACTACTCCGCCGAAAAGAACCAGAACATCGCAGCTGAGGTCGATAAGCTCCTAGATGCTGGGTTCATTGAACCCTGTCAGTATCCGGAGTGGCTGGCCAATGTTGTAATGGTTCAGAAGGCAAATGGTAACTGGAGGATGTGCGTTGACTTCACGGACCTGAATAGGGCATGTCCCAAGGACTCCTATCCGCTGCCGAGGATCGACCAACTGGTCGACTCGACAAGCGGGCATGCTCTGCTCAGTTTCATGGACGCATTCTCGGGATACCATCAGATCTTCATGCACCCCGAGGACCGAGCTAAAACAGCGTTCATAACAAGTTCCGGGTTGTACAATTACAAAATGATGCCCTTCGGATTGAAAAATGCGGGGGCAACATATCAGAGGTTGGTTGATCAGGTTTTCGCCGAGCAAAAAGGCCGAAACATGGAGGTTTATGTTGACGACTCAATCGTCAAAAGCATAAAAGAAAAAGATCATGTCACGGACCTAGCCGAAACCTTCGCCACCCTCAGAAAATACAAAATGAAGCTGAATCCGAAGAAATGTGTCTTCGGCGTGAAGTCAGGCAAGTTCCTCGGCTTCATGGTCAGCAAGAGGGGGATTGATGCAAACCCCGCCAAAGTACAAGCTGCTTTAGACCTCCCCGAGCCGAAGACAAAAAGGGATATTCAGCGTCTAGCCGGGAGAATGGCTGCCTTGTCCAGGTTCATCTCACGAGCCTCAGACAAAGGGCTCCCTTTCTTCAAGGCGCTGAAGCTCCAAAATTCAAAAGGCATTGAA